GAAGTAATATCTTTCAGAATCTGGCTCCTGTGTTCACCTCACGTTGAAGTCCTGGGAGGAGGGGTTATCAGGAAAGTCACAATGCCCATTGATTAGCCCTTCATCCCTCCCTTCTGGTGTTTGTTTGTTTGTTTAAGACAGGGTCTCACTATGTAGCATTGGCTGGTGGTGTGAAGCTCAGAGGTTTTTTTTTAATTATTATTATTATTTTTAAACAGACTGTATCTTTCTTAGTGTGATCAATTTATCTATGCCTTGGACTTCAATCACAATTTCTATGTGTTGCCTAGAAATGTGCCTTGGATTCTGCCATCTCTTTTTTCTGATAACTTCAGGTACTCTTTCTTTTATTATTTTTTTATGGGGCTTTTGGCTACTCTAACATTCCCCCCCCAAGAGGTAACCCTAAAATCTTTTAAGGCTTAGATACAAGCTCCCAAGTTCTTTTGACATTTTTGGCCTTTGGAACAGAGTATGTTGCTAAGAGGCCCAAGGATATTTTGACTTTTAGCCAAGAAACTGGCTACTTTTTACACTAACTGCCCAGTCCTATTCTTCTTCCTTTTTTTAAAAAAATATTTATTATTTTTATTTTATGTGTATGAGTGTATTGCCTGCTTGTATGTGAGTGCACCCATGTCATGCAATGCCTCGGAGGTCAGAAGAGGGCTTCAGATTCCCCTGGAACAGGAGTTAAGGAAGGTTCGTAGCCGCCATGTGGTTGCTGGGAATCGAACCCCGGGTCTTCTGCAAGAGCAGTCAGTGCTCTTAACCGCTGAGCCATCTCTCCAGTCCTTCCTGCCTCCTGTTCTTATCACAGCATCCTCTGAAGAGATTACCCAGCTTGCAGACAGGGAATTGGACGCAGACCACTCTGGCTTCTTCCATGCTGAACAGGAATGCAGGATAAGGCAATTGGAGTACCCCTTCAGTGGGTCTATTTAAAAGACTCCCAAATTGCATAACTTATCTGTAGGGGGAAAAGAAAGTCCTTGACTGGTGAATAGGAGACGTGAAGGAGAAGTAAAGGCAAGAGTAATTAGCATTACAAGTTCTAGACAGGGACCTAGAAAAAAGAACAGGGCAGATTTCAAATGTTCATATGAGAGTCCATTGGAATTTCTTGATGAAAGCTTCCAAAAGCATCCCTCTGTTGGGTTCTTCCTCATTTTTCTCTTGTCGGTGATAGATTCAGGATTTGCTTTCAGGCATTTTGATAGCTGTTGGAGTGGTTAGAATCGGTATCAGTTCCCTTTCAAAGGCTTCACCAGGTGGAGGCAGGATCCGGGTGCTCGCTCTCAGGCAGTCCCCTGAGTTCTCAGCCCCTATGCCAGATGGAAGTGGGAACAGGCACTCTCTGGCAATCTGCGGAGATCCCAGCCGCTATACAGATGGAGGTCAGAACCCACCCTCTCAGGCTGTCTACTGAGATCTCAGCCTTATCCTACCAAAGCTAGGTCTGCCCCCTAACTGGTTGTTTTTTTGTTTTGTTTTGTTTTGTTTTGTTTTTAAAGGGAGAGAGAGAGAAAGGCCGGATGTGGTGGTGCACACCTGTAGTCCCAGCACTTGGGAGGCAGAGGCAGATGGATCTCTGTGAGTTCAAGGCCAGCCTGGTCTACATAGTGAGTTCTAGGCCAGTTGAGGCTATAGGGAGACCCTGTTTCAAAAAAAGAGAGAGACCTCTCCTGTATGGTCATTCATACCTAGCCTTTAATCACAAACACTTGGGAGGCAGAGGCAGGCGGATCTCTGTGAGATGGAAGCCAGCCTGGTCTACATAGTGAGTTATAGGCTAGCTGGCATTACAGGGAGGGACTCTGTTTCAAAAAAGAAAAGAAAAAATGAAAACAAACAAAAAGAGAGTCACTGTATTGCCTAGGCTGGTCTCAAACCCCTGGACTCAAGAGATTTTCCATTCTCACCCTTACCCTCCTGAGTGCTGTGACTGTAGCCCAGTGCTGTTCTTTTTTTCTTATTTATTTATTTATTTATTTATTTATTTATTTATTCATTTATTTATTTATTTATTCATTTATATTTTTGGTCTTTTTGAGACAGGGTCTCCCTGTAGCCCCAGTTGTCCTGGAATTCACTATGTAGACCAGGCTGGCCTTGAACTCACAGAGATCCATCTGCCTCTGCCTCCCAAGTTCTGGGATTAAAAGAATGTGCCAGCATGCCCAGCCCTTTTCTTTTTTAAAAATTACTATTTTTTTTATTTTTTGAGACAAGATCTCATGTAGGCTGACCTTGAACTCACTGTGCAGCTGAGGATGACCTTGAACTTCTTATCCTCTGCCCTCCACTTTCCAGGTTCGGAGATTCTAGTCCAGTGTCCCGTTCCCCCCCCCCCCAGGGGTATTTTTCACTCTTATGTGCACAATATTTTGTTGTGATTTGGTGTTTTGAGACAAGTTCTCACCTTGTAGCCCAGACTAGCCTCAAACTCCCCATCTTCCTGCCTCAATATATTTTATTTCCTTTAAAGTAATTAAAACCAGATTGGGAACAGAGCTAGTAGCGCTCTCTCTCTCTCTCTCTCTCTCTCTCTCTCTCTCTCTTTCTCACTTTCTCTCTTTCCCCCCCCCCCCCCCAACAAGGTATGATGACTCACACCTGTAATTCCAGCACTTAGAAGGTGAAGGCAGGAGGGTCACTTGAACTCAGGGGTATGTGACCAGCCTGAGCAACAGGCAGGGCAAGACTTTATCTGAAAAGAACAGCAAAGGGGACTAGAGATGCAGCTCAGATGGCAAAGTTATTGCCTAGGATGCACAAAGTCCTGAGTTCAGTCCTCAGCACCACATTGAAACAGGAATGGTAGCACAGAGCTACCATTCCAAAGCTCAGGAGGTGCAGGCAGCAGGATCAGAAGTTCAGGGTCTTTCATGTTCCTCCCTTGGAGCTCCTCCCAATCTCTGGAGTTCTCTCTTAGTTTTTCTTACTGAATCTGTTTGCTGTGCTAATAAAAATAAAAATAAAAATAAAAAAATGAAAGAGGAAAGAAAAGAAATAAGCAAGCTCCAGGTTATTTTGAGATGCCTGTCTCAAAAATAAAAGTAAAGAGGGGCTGGAGAGATGACTCAGTGGTAAAGAATGCTTGCTGCTCTAGCAGAGGACCTGAGTCCAGTTTCCAGCACCCACATCACAACTTCCTGTAACTCTACCTCTTGTACATTGCACGTATGTACACATCCCCACACTGACACCAACACATATACACGCAACTAAAATTTATCTATTTATTTTGGTTTTTAAAACATTCCATTTTGTTTGTGTGTGTGTGTGTGTGTGTGTGTGTGTGTATTGCCTGCATTGCACCTGTGTCATGCAACGCTTGCAGAAGTCAAAAGAGGGCATCAGATTTCCCTGGAACTGCAGTTACATGTGGGTGCTGGGAATCAAATCCAGGCCCTCTCCTAGAACCGCCAGTGTTAACTGCTGAGCCACCTCTCCAACGCCTATTTTGGTTTTTGACAAGGGTCTCACTTTGTCACCCTGGCTGACCTGGAACTTCCTATGTGACCAGGTTGGCTTCAAACTCATAGAAATCTACCTGCCTCTGCTTCCCAGGTGTTGGGATTAAAGGCATGCTCCAACACACCCATCTGAAATAAATTTTTAAATTTTATTTAATTTATTTTTATTTTATGTGTATGAGTGTTTTGCTTACATGTATATAAGTGCAGCCATGATGTGCAGTGCCCTTAGAGGCCAGAAAAGGGTGTTGGATCCCCTGGAACTGGAGTTATGGACAGTTGTTAGCTGCCATGTGAGTGCTGGGAACCAAACCCAGGTCCTCTGCAAGAGCAACCAGTGTTCTTAACCACTCAGCTGTCTCTCCAGCTCCTGAAATAAAATAAATCTTAAAGAAAGGGAAAAAAAAAGAAAGTTGAAGGCTGGTGTGGTTACATGAACCTATAATCCTAGCCCTTGGGAGGCAGTGGCTCACTGCAGGTCAAGGCCAATCTGGTTTATATAGAAAGAGTACTACAGAGTAAGACCATGTCTTCAAAGAGCAGAAGAGGGCTGGGCATGGTAGCGCACACCTTTTATCCCAGTAGGAGGCAGAGGCAGGCAGATTAATCTCCCTGTGAGTTCAAGGCCAGCCTGGTCACAGAGTTCCAGGCCATCTGTGGCTACAGGGAGACCCTCTCTCAAAAAAAAAAAGAGAACGGGGTGCTGGAGAGATGGCTTAGTAGTTAAGGCATTGGCTGTTTGCTGAGGACCCGGGTTCAATTCCAAGCACCCATATGGCAGCTGACAACTGCCCATAACTCCAGTTACAGGGAATCTAACACCTTTTTCTGACCTCCACAGGCACTGCACAACACAGGTACAGTTACATACATGTAATACACTCATATACATAAAATAAAAATTAAATAAAGTATTTTAAAAAAGAGAGAGAAGGGAAAAGAAAGTAAACCCCCCATTGGCTACTTCAAGATGTTGTTTCATCTAAGAGCAAGAGAGTTGGAAGAGGGACTCTTCAGGGCAGTAATCCTCAAATTTCATGGACAAGATGCCCCAAGCACCATGTATAAGGTGCCATTTCCCTGGGTCCCATGGCCCACTGATCCTTAGAAGTAACCCAGGAGAAGGTACCACAGGCTCTTTGGAGGGGAGGTCCCCACTTTAGGAGCAGATGCTTAGGGGCTAGGGCTCTCTTGGCTAGGCCTGTTCTCTCCTCCCTGTCCTTGGACAGGATTGGCTTTAGCATCTGCACAAAGCCCTCTGCATCCCTCCCACCTCTGTGGCCCGTAGCTGCTGCTACCTTCAATACATCCACTCTGGTGCCTAAAGAAGCTCAAGTAAAGAAGTCGTGGTTCTTTGTCCCTGGGAACCTCAGATGTACCACCTGGTGAGAAGGAGGTGTCGGTGGTGGTGGCACAGCAGCAGCAGCTGTGTGATGCATACCCAGATCAGACTGCTGGCTGGTTGGTATAAGGAAAGTCACTGGTTTACTCAGTAGAAGGGGTCTTTTCTGTCTTGTCCAGAGCTGAGAATGAAGCGGAGAGCATCTGACAGAGGAGCTGGGGAAACGTCAGCCAGGGCCAAGGCTCTAGGGAGTGGCATTTCTGGAAATAACGCAAAGAGAGCAGGACCGTTCATCCTGGGTAAGTCTCTGACTGCTGGGAGGTGGGGTGGGCAAGGTGCCAATGTGTAGGCAGCAGAGTGAGGTGCCTGCCACAGCTGGGGTGAAGCCCTGATCTGTCAGTGGAAGACCCAGGCCTGTGGTTACTCTAGTGAAAGTTGTCAAGTTTTTTTGTCCCTATACTAGCTTTAGTCGGTCTAAGCTGAGAGCCAAACTTTCTCTTCCCCCACTGAGAATGTCAACTTGACAGGAAGTACATAGCAGCATTAGAACCCAAGACTTTTCATCTAAGGCACTATTTGACATTCTCTAATTTCATTCACTTCAGTGGTTTTGTACATCACTCCCTACACTTCTTATAAAATCAGCATGGAATCCTCTAGATGGGTGTTCACAGGAGGCTGCGGAGCAGCAGGGCACTCTGTGTGGTGCCTAAGGCCCAGAAAGTCCAGATTGCTTATGGCCAGGGCTGCAGGTGGTATAGGCTCTCTAGCAGCAGACACTGGGTATGACTTTTGCTTTGAGGCAGCCTTTTGGACTTACAGGCACAGGCTAGTTCCAGCATCAGACACCCAGCAAATAGCTTCTGGTGGTGCCTAATACCAGCCAGACCCATGCTATTTGCAGGGATGTAATAGTGATGAAGACAGATGAACTGCCCTCATGAAACTTAGCATTTTTGTTTGGGAAAGAAAAGACTTTGGCTAAGTTCTCTGAAGGAGATAAACAAGATGGCCTATAAGTAGTGTAGCCAAGAAAGGCCTCTTTAAGGAAGTGACATTTGAACTGACACCTGAGCGTGAGAATGAGCAGCCATGGGGAGAGGAGGAGGACCAGCAAGCCTGAGCTACCAGGACAGAAGTACAGGGTTGGGCTCACTGTGATGGGAAGTGAGAGCCCACAATGGTGTGGCAGGGGATGGGATGGAACTGGCCCCTTAGAAACGTGGGCAGGGGTATGGAGAGATGGCTCAGTGGTTAAGAGCGTTGTCTGTTCTTGCAGAAGTACTGTGTTTGAATCTCAGCACCCCCATGGTGGCTAACAACCACCGATAACTCTAGTTCCAGGGGACCAGACACCCTCTTCTGTCCTCCTCGGGCATTGCAGGACATGATTGCACTTACACACATACAGGCATAACACTCATACACATAAAAAAAAATTTTTTAATTAAGAAAAAGTCATTTCCTCATTAGTATAGTGGTGAGTATCCCTGCCTATCACACGGGAGACCAGGTTTGGATACTCTGATGGGGAAAGCATTCTATTTGGCCAGACATGGTGACACACACCTTTAATCCCAGTACTTGGGACACAGAGGCAGGTGGATCTCTGTGAGTTCAAGAAAAAAAAAAAAAAAAAGGTGGATACAAGGGTTGGAGAAAAGGCTTAGTCGGTAAGAGCACTTGCTGCCTTTCCAGAGGACCTGAGTTTGGTTCACAGCCACTCACATTGGGCAGCTCATAACCACTTATAACTCCAGCTGCAGGGCATCTAACACCCTCTTCTGGACGGTGTACTCAGGTATATAAACACACACAAAGACACACACTTAACTAAAATTTAAAATAAAATCTTAAAGTGCTAGAGAGATGGCTCAGCATTTAAATGCACTTGCTGCTTTTCTAAAGGATCCAAATTCAGTTTCCATCACCCATATCAGGTGGTTTACAACCAAATATAACTTCAGCTCCAAGGGATCTCACACCCTCTTCTGGTCTCTGTGGGTACCTACACATAAGTAGCATATATATATACATGTGCATACACACACAAACACACACACACACACAAAATAAATCTTAGAAGGGACTCAAAGATAGCTCAGTGTTTAGGAGCGCTTGCTGCTCTTGGAAAGGACCTGGATTCAATTCCCAGCACCCACATGATGATTAACAGCTGTTCATAACGTCATTTCCAGGGGATCTAACACCTCCTTCTGGCCTCCCCAGATATTGCTCACATGTGGTACACTTAAGTACATGCAGGAGAAAAACCTCATACACTAAAATAAAAATAGATAAATAAAAAACTTTGGTAATTAAATATTAAGAAAATATATCTTTTAAAGATCTGTCAGGCACCATAGTACATGCCTTTAATCCCAGCCCTCAGGACACAGAGGCAGGTGGATCTTGGTAAGTTCAAGGCCACCCTGGTCTTCATAGTTCTAGGCCAGCCAGTGCTACACAGTGAGCAGGAACAGGCCTCCAAGGCTTGATGCCAAGGGAAGGAGTGGGGTCAGGTGGAGTTATCTGCCGTGAGCAGCAGCACTGTACTGTGGTTCTGAGTTTTGTTCTGAAAGCTCAGGCAGGTGTTATCCTGGACAGCAAGCACTGTGTGCCTGCCTTCAGAAGTGCTGGAAGGTCTCAAGAGTGAGTGCCTGGACAATGGCCAGCCATTTGTCAGAATCACCAGGGGAGCCTGTAAATAATGGTGGTATCCTGGAGCCTCCAGGATACTCGTGCTGGAGTGGCAACAGTCTGGTGGCAGCCTGGGATCTCTTTATAAATCTCTTTACAAAAATTTCAGTACATGCCCAAAGTTGAAATATTTTTCTATTGCCTTTTGGTTTTTATTTTATTTTATTTATTTATTTATTTTACTTATTTATTTTTTAGACAGTCTCACTATGTAGTCCTGATTGGCCTGGAACTCAATCTGTAGACCAGGCTGGCCTTGAACTCACAGAGATTGACCTGCCTCAGCATCTGGAGTGCTGAGATTAAAGCATATGCCATCATACCCAGCCTTGCTTTTTGTTTTTTTGAGAAGGGGGTCTCACTGTGTAGCCCAGGCTGTCCTCCATCTGACTCTCTTCCTACACGAGCTTCCTGAGTTACTTGGATTACTGGCGTGCACCATACCAGTCACTAGAAACCCTTCTTTTTGAGGACTGTACCAGCAAAAGCCAGGTACATCTTTGGCAGATGTACACAGTTTACAGTGATAACCCAGTGGGTGTAAAGAGAAACTCTAGGCAGGAGGCCATGGGGTGACACTCTGGAAAGTAAGCCTGGGGCCCTGTGTGCTGTAGGTCCCCGTCTGGGCAACTCACCAGTACCGAGCATTGTGCAGTGTTTGGCGAGGAAAGATGGCACAGATGACTTCTATCAGCTGAAGGTAAGCACAATAAAGGGCAGAGCCCTTCAGATGCTGTCCCAGTAACACCCACTCCTCCCTCCTATTCACCATCACACCTGCATCACCCGTAAGCAAGAGTAGCGCTGTTTCTCCTGAGAAATAGTCAGGTTCACACAGTCTCACTCAGAACAGTTCATGATTTAAAGAGCTTTATCTGTACATAAATTACATGGCCATCACATTAAGAAAAGCAGCCTCACTCTGCAGTTTGTGAGGTTGGACACAGGCATCACACGGTAGAAGTGAACTCACTTCCCCTGTTCTGGCTGTTCTCGTGGGTAAAGGAAGGCGTTTGGTCTTTCTCTTTTTGTGCTTCCCTAAAGATCCTTACCCTTGAGGAGAGGGGCGAGCAAGGACTAGAGAGCCAAGAGGAGAGGCAGGGCAAGATGCTGCTGCACACCGAGTACTCTCTGCTTTCCCTGCTGCACACACAGGATGGCGTGGTCCACCACCATGGCCTCTTCCAGGTGAGTGGCCTGGCCCATATACCATGTGCCTTGCTTGGCTCCTGTTGGAGTCACATCTATCTACCTTGTGAGCAGCTCCCAACATCCCAACATTTAATCCCTGGTGTCACTGCTGTGTGGGCTGTCTGGACCTGGACAAGGTAAGCTGCGTTCAGGCTGGGACCATGTTGGCTGCTACAATGCCCCTGTGGCAGCGATCTTAACCTAGCAGGAATGTTCACAGTTGGCATCTTATAGCAACTAGAATTTCTTTTTGGAGCTGCTTTTCTAAGGAAGAAGAGGAGAGCAGGATGTTTAATGTCCCCAGGCTCTTTCCAACTGTGCTGTCTGAAATTGGCCAGGCTGGGGTGGAAGGAGCCACTGAGAAGAATCTCTGTTTGGGTTCACCTGTAGATGGATCTCCACAGCTATGTTTGTCCACAGTCCTGTCTGCTCAGGCATTTCAGGTTCTGCAAATGTCCTTGTCCTGTTATATGACCTCAGTCAGGTCAGTCATTTTAAGTCTCTGAGCCCCAGAACCTTCCTATAAAGAATGAGGAGGGCCGGGCATGGCAGTGCACACCTTTAATTTCAGCACTCAGGAGGTAGAGGAGGTGAATCTCTGTGAGATCAAGGCCAGTCTGGTCTACACAGCTGGCTCTAGCCAGCTTGGCCTACAGGGAGACCCTGTCTTAAAAAAAAAGAAAAGAACAAAAGAATGAGGAGGGCTGGGTTGGCTGCTTACCTCAGGCAGGTGGGCAGGTGAATGAGAGCACACCGCACAGACTGCTCTGGCCCTTGCTCATCATCTCTGCTGTTTTGAGCAATCAGAACTCTCTGTCAACTTCATTCCTCACAGAAAGCAAATGGAAAATGCTAAAAAAAAAAGGCTCAACTGTATCTGGCCCTGCATTGCCTCTTTTTAAAAAGGTGTTTTGAGGGCCTGGTGTGGTGGCGCACGCCTTTAATCCCAGCATTCGGGAGGCAGAGGCAGGTGGATCTCTGTGAGTTCAAGGCCAGCCTGGTCTATATAGTGAGTTCCAGGTCAGCTGGGGCTACAGGGAGACCCTGCCTCAAAAAGACCAAAAAAAAAAAAAGTGTTTTGAGCTTTACATCTAAATGCTAGACAGTGGACCCAGGCCCCTGTAGGAAGTAAATCCTAGATCTAATCCTGCTATTAAGGAGAAATGTGGCTATTTGGTCTTCCAGAAGTTCCCCAGAAGACATCTGCTAGTCTGCTGAGGATAACTGTGGCCTCCTCTAGTCAGCAGGCATAGCAACCACTTCTGTCATACTTGGACTGTGTTGCAGTAAGGAGAGTGGTCCAAGGGTACACACCAGTGTTTAGCAGTATCACCCGCTGAGCCCTGACTGTGGCAGGCCCTAAGCACTGACTACAGTTAGCCTATTTAAACTGTGCCAGCCAGGGAAGAAGGGACTGCTAGCTCTCTTATACATGAGGACTTAGACTCATGAAGTGGAGGCATCGGAGGCCAGCATTATATTCCCTGCCACAATTATGTGACTGCCTTGCAGTCCTGTCGTCGTGAGGAAAGCCATTGTCTGGGACACACAGAATACTGTGTGACCCTTGAAGCCTTCTAGGAGTGACCTCTCTTATACTTCATCTTGGACATGGATGGAAGTGACATTGGTTTTAGCTGGAATCTGGGGGGTGGTAGAAGGAGGATGCCCCAGGGCCCAGTTTCACTGCCACTACACTGGGCTGCAAGGGCCAGTTAGCTTTGAATGCCCAGTGCTGACTACGTATAGTCCTTTGCACTATGATCAGAGTATGAAGCCTCCACCTGAGATGTTGATCGTGAGCCCTCTGGGCTTTGTGCTTGGCATGTAGGAAGCTGAGCAAATGTTGAGGACTACCCCAGTCAGACTGCCTGGGTCTCAGTCTCCCACCTGCCTACACTGTAGGTTTGTTCTAGGTTCTCTTGTTGGCTTGAGTAGCCTACAGTGCAGGCAGGTGGAAGCCTGAGGCCTTGGCCTGTGGGGTCTGAGGCCAAGCCCTGGTCCTCCCTTGCCTCGCAGGATCGTACCTGTGAAGTGGTTGAGGACACAGAGTCCAGCCGGATGGTTAAAAAGATGAAGAAGCGCATCTGCCTTGTCCTGGACTGCCTCTGTGCACATGACTTCAGCGACAAGACCGCTGACCTGATCAATCTGCAGCACTACGTCATCAAGGAGAAGAGGCTCAGCGAGCGAGAGACTGTGGTCATCTTTTATGACGTGGTCCGAGTGGTGGAAGCCCTACACCAGGTGAGCCCCTGCTCTCCCCAAACATACCACACACACAGGAACCCCTGTGCCACAGAAAAAGCAAGCTGCTCCGTCCTGACCTCACTAGGATATTTTGCAGCTAGGAGTATCCAGAAGGAAGTGGCTAAATGACAGGTGTCCTGGGTGAAGCCAAGTACTGCAGGCCACAGCCATGTTCTCCAAGAGGGCTGACAGATGGAGCAACCCAGCAGAGCTCTACACAGTAATTTACAGTCAGTCCAGAGGCTAAACTGTAGCCTCCTAGCTCAGAGATAACTGTAAGATACCCACCCGGCAACCACAGGCCACCGGAGCTTTGGGTTCAGGCACCCCAGGTGAGGGACAAAAAAACTTGAGCCCTGTCCAGATACATAGTTCTATGGGCCAAGGCTGGAGTACTTAGTTACAGAATTGAAGCATTTGTTCTCTGCCCGCCCCCACACACACATGGGACTTACCCCATGGGCTGGTTAATGGAAAGAAGGAGGAAGAGTTTCCCCATTAGCTGCTGCTCTGCGGAAACTGCTGGGCCACTTCTTATCCACTTCAGATGCAGTCTTGATGAGGCCTTAGAGACATATCCTAGCGTGTTCCTGCCTTCTCAGACCCTGGAGATTCCCCATCTTCCAGGGTGGACTCCACCTCACCTTTTACTTTCTGATGCGAACCATTTGCCCATTGGTTTTCAGAAAAACATTGTTCATAGAGACCTGAAGCTTGGAAACATGGTGCTCAATAAAAGGTAAGCGTCCTTTTCTTCCTTTGCTGTGAGCTTGGAGTTGGGACAGGCTGTGTGCTGCAACTACCCAGTGCTCTGCAGTGTCCCTGTGGGGATTCTGGCTCTAAACAGCCCAGCATCCTCAAATCCCAGGGCTGGGGGTTGTGAGTGCAGTGCTTGCTGAAACTGGACCTTTAGAACAGAAAGGGGTGAGCACTCGGCTCTCCCAGTGTCAGGCACAGTACCTGAGTCTCAGAGATCTGGGACATGCATCCCAGCCTCCTTGGGGACCAGCAGCAGAGACAGATTCGCTGTCTTGAGTGCAGGCCTCTTTAGCAGTGATTGGGACTGTAATGGAGGGACACCAGCTAAGGGTTTGAGAACCAACAGGAGGAAGGGCCTCTCTGTGGGCTACTGCAACCCTAAAAAGACAGCCCTAGCAAGAGGCCTCACTTGCTCAAGTCTTGCTCCCCTCCCATCTCCCTTCCAGCGGGTTAGAAGACAGATGGCAACAGCAGGGAAACAGCACAAGTGTCATGCTGGTGATTTGTCCCATGGTGGTCAGCCCAGCCAGGAGGGGCCCCGGGCCCACTGTCCTTGTACAGTTCCTTTCCAAAGCCTCAGTGGTCACAGGAAAAGAAGCTGCAGGGAGGTGGGCCTCTAGGAAGGGGTAAGGGCCTAGGCTGTGAAGCTCTAGCCTGATAACCATTGGGAAATGCTTTGCAGAGGGAGCTAAGCTGCCCCAGCCTCTGCCATCTCATCTCCCCTGTGGCTGGGATGCTGACCAGAAAACAGAGATCACTTCACACATGGAGGACAGTATGTAGAGAGCTGGCAGCAAACCTGCTGGCTGGGTTGTTAGGAAGGATGAGCCAAGACTGCCAGCCTCAGAAAGGGAAGGGTCGAAAACTTCAGTGTCATATTCTACAGAGGGGAGGGAAGGAAACAGGAAATTCCAGGACTGCTTGAACCCCATCTGGCTGAGTGAGGAGTGAGGAAAGATGAAGGAGCAGGATGTGGGGGTCGAAACTGACTGGGAGCTGGCCCTGGGCTGTCTCTTACTTAATTTGGAGACTGTGCTGTTTTCTTGGTTTATTTACATGCTAAGTGAGTTCATTCATATGTTGGGGTGCCAGCACTTTTGAACTTGTTTCTCATCTGTAGAAGTGGAGGTGATTTTACTTTCTTGGAAAGATCAGCGTAAGATACAAATAGATGTAACATTGCTGAGTGAGGGTTGGCTCTTCCTAAGCACACTCTCAGTGTCAATTCTAGCAGGGCCTGCGGCTCCTATGGGTAGAGAGACAGGAGAAAGGACCCATGAGCTCCCTTCCTTCAGATGGGTCCTGCTGTGTATGGCTGACTGATGATATCCATGGTGAGAGCCCAGCACTTCCCCCAGCCTTGGCTCAGACTCAGAAGAGGAGGCCAGGGACTGGAGGGCACTAACCACCTCAGCCCTGAGTTGTGGAAAGGGTATTGTCTTAGAGAGGATGACTTGGCAGCTGAACTTGGTGGCTTATGCCTGGTATCCTAGCATTGGTAAGCCTGAAGCAAGGGCATCACACATCCGAGGTCAGACTGAGCTACATAAACAAGAACCGTGTCTTTAAAAAAATGAAGAAGGAAACGTGGGTCCTGCTTGTCCCAGGCCTTCTGTGGGACACTGCAGAACCCTTGTCCCCACCAGCTGGACTAGAGAGCTCAGGCTCCTATAGCAGTTGGTTTGATGGGTCTAAGTGAGCATCCCGAAGGCTGTCATGGAAACACGCAGTCATGGAAACACCAGCATGCATGACCTCTTTTCCCCCTGCTGGTGGATTTGCTTCCACTCTCCCTTCTCCCAACTCCCAGGACTGCACCTCTGGAGCCCTCAGCCTAGCTGCAGCAGGTGTCCATGTGACCGACACGTTGCAGAACACCATACCTTACTCAGAGCAGACAGAGGGTCCAGTCGCCTTTCACTTGAGTGCCCAGACTCTCTGGAAGGGTGCAGGGAGGTGCAGCTTGGAAAGTTCATCCTTGGTACATCTGCCCCTCTAGGGCCTCACTTTCACCCTTCTTCAGTAGAAGATCCTCTGGAGTTCTCACTCATCCTGCCAGGCCCCCATGCTAGCTGCGGAAGGCAGACAAGCTGGGGCCGAGAGCCCGCAGGGAAGGGCATGGAGAGAAGCAGGGAAGGGCATGGAGAGAAGTGTCAGCCTTGGGTGAGAGGAGAGGCTGGAATCTGAAGTGCGCCTTGGGGTTATGTGAGGCCGGCTGTGGGTTCCTTCTCCTTCCTCCTTCCTTTTGGGTAGGCAAGTTGCATACCAGTTCCTAGAAAAGCAGAACACTGTGGTCGCCCAGGGGCCATAGCTGAAGCGTGACTCACGCAGAGCAGCCCCTACTGACGCACATCGCCCCCACCACCCCTCATTGCCCTTGCCCTCCTGTCAGGACCAGCTGGGGGGCCTGGGACTCCTGGGGAGTTGTGTGCCACCCTGCCAGCGTGGGTGGTGGTGGCAGGCAGGCAAGCATTGCCAAGCTTCAGGAAGTCACTGTGCTGACTCTATCCTTTCCTGAAGGAGAGACTCTAGGTACCTTGGTGGCAGAGCAGCCACCACAGGCAGAGAGGCGGAAGTCCTGCCAGCAGGACTTAAAGCCATACAAGTGCATGTGCTCCAGGGTCTGTTGTCACCCACCTCAGAGACATGACTTTCCTGGGTTTTGCCAGGCTCATGCTAGCAGAGAATGAGAAGATATTGGCAGCTTTCTCTGGCAAGCCCTGAGCTCAGTGTCCTTGTGGACCATCTTCTTACCCAGGCAGATCCAGCCTAATCCCAAGAGTCAGGCTCTGCTATTTTCCCTTTCACAGAGGAGGAAATTTAAGTATATCAGGAGCTTCATACAGCAGGGAAATGGCAGAGCTGAGACCAGGCCCTAGGACTCTGAGTCTCAGGCCCACTGTCCCTCCCTTGAGCTATCCTGCCAGCATCTCAAGCCTCAGAGACCACAGGATACATTTGTGGCTATAGTGGCAAGGGCAGAAAACACACAGTACTGTTCTGTAGGAGCCTTCCAGACTAGAGGCTGGAGCAGTCCCATGTCCCAAACAGTGACATAGGAGGCTCAGAGCTGGAGTCTTAAGTGAGGATGACTCTTGAGACCTTTGCATGCATTCTTCAGCTTTAGCGTGCAGGCCCCCAGGAGGGCTTCTGCAGGATGGCTTGGGTGAGACCTGGAGCCCACATTTGTGCTGGGAATGTGGAGAACAGACTGGCTTTTGTTTGCTCCAAGCCCTTTGCCAGCAGCTATCCCAGGATAGCTGAAGAGCTCTCGGATCTTCTTGGATGCAACTCTTGGGGAAATCCACCCACAGCCTCACACCCTGCTCCTCTGAGTCCACTCTTTTCCTACTCTATAGACTGTTCTAGCAAGAAGTGCCTAAGGCCCATCCTGGAGTTTCTGTCACCACCATCTCTAGCTGCCATGCCCAGACAATAGGCACAGACCACTGCAGCTGGGAAAGAGGCACCCGTCCTCACTGGTACCCCCCAAAGACCTCTTAAGGGTCACCTTCCCTTTCACCTCTAGCTGTAGTGTAAGGGTCCCCTCAGAAGACCACATCATGAGCTTCCTAGAAAGGTTCCAGGCCTCCTGCCTGATGACTCTTAGAGAAAGGAGTCTTTTTCCAGACCAAGGCAGAATCTGAGATCTAAGACAAGGGGTGAATTAGCTGGAATGGAAAAGAAGGAAAAGTCAGTTGGGGGCTGGGCACTTCCCAGGGCACGTCTGGACAGCTGTCAGCCCTGAGTGTGGGCTCTAGGGTCTGAAAGACTAGGCTTGGACCTATTCTCTAATGCTCCCTTGGACAGTTCCCCTTCACTTCTGCACCTTAGTGGTACCATCTGAAATGGGGCAGTGAGAGTCTCCATCATAGGCTGTTGTGGGAATAAATGACAGCAGTCCACTTGAGTCCTTAATAAATACAAAGAAAACTGACAAAGGGGACAGAAGTGCTACTCAAGGGTAGATTCTGGACTTAGTGCTATATATATAGAATCTCTGAGCCCCATTGAACAGTGCCTCCCTGCCTGAGTTCCCCTTCTTATGCCAAGGAGTCTCCTGGGAGTCTAGCCCTAGCTTACTAAATGACCCCCACACACATACCTGTCCTTTGGGAACCACATTCCTTACATGATGTCAGCATTACCCCCCAGCAGGCTCAGCTGCCCCAAGTGAAGAATATCAAGAAGTCATACTGTGTCCAGCAACACTGCTGAGGTTTAAAATAGTTGGGATGGGGCTGGAGAGATGGCTCAGTGGTTAAGAACACTGACTGTTCTTGCAGAAGACCCAGGTTCGAATCCCATCACCCTTGTGGCAGCTAACGACTGTCCATAACTCCAGTTCCAGGGGATCCAACAGCCTCTTCTGTCTTCCGCAGGCATTGCACGACACGGGTGCACTCACATACATGCAGGCAATATACACATACACATAAAATAAAATAAATAATAAAATATTTAAAATAGTTGGGAATAGGGCTAAGGATAAAGCTTAATGAAAGAGCAATTGCTAGGGCTGGAGAGATGGCTCAGTGGTTGTTAAGAGCACTGGGTACTCTTGCAGATGACCCAGGTTTGATTTCCAGCACACACCCTGGTGGCTAACAACTGTCCTTAACTTCAGTTCCAGGGGATCTGTCTGTCCTTTGCAGGCATTGCATGACACGGGTTCACTTACATACATGTGGGTAATACACTCATACACATAAAAATAAAATATTTTAAAAAGAAAGAACACTTGCTCCATATGCACAAGGCCCTGGGTTTGACCCCTATCACTGCAGGAAGCAAAATAGCCACAAAAGTTGTTGGGAATAGACCCCACATTGTCTCATGGTGATGGCACAGTGTGCTATCTAAGTCTTTATGCAGCCTGTGGTGACCTGCTGTATCTTGGGTCAGTGCCTCACCCACCAGACAGTGTTGGTCCTGCCTGCTGAACCTCTCTACAAGGCCCTACAACAGACACCAGCACTTTTCTGAAGAGAAGAAAGGCTGCTGCTCAAAGCTGTTAGGCAGGGGAACTTCAACATGACAGAGCTGGCCTTATGGCCTCACCAGTTCACAGTGGCCTCCTCTGGAGTAAACTGCTCTTCTCAGTAGACTCTAGCCCCAGTCTTGGAGGCCTAGGACCAGTGAAGACCCATGTCTGCATTGTTGGCTGTCTCCTAGACACTGGGCTCATGGCCATCCAGCTACCCTGCATTAGCACCAGTGTGTGTACCCTCTGCCACCAAGAGGGAAGACCAAGGTTCTATTTGCTCCTCAGAGCAAAGACTCTTGTGTCCTCCTTGTGTCCTTGTGTCCTTGGTTCCAACTGTCCATGGAAGTAACGCTGTCCTGGAAGTGCCAGAAAAGTTCCCCCCTCCGTCTAATGCCAAGTCTCCCAGGCAGCCGTGGCCTACAGTGGGGTCTTAGGAAGACAGGGTGGTTTAAATTGAGGTGTGCTATTGCTCGGTGATGTTCCGTGATGACTGTGCTGCCACCCTTGGCTCCCACAGTTAGCTCCAAGAAATGGGGACTGGGAAGTGATGGGATAACACAGTCTCACCTGATTGGATACTAGGCCTGGGCTCCTTGAAGAGACCTGGAACCCCCAGAAAGGATGGACTGAGGGACTGGAGAGATGCTTCAGTTGGTCAAGTGCTTGCTTGAAGCATAAAGATTTGAGCCCAGATCCCCAGAATAAAAAGCTGGAGGTAGCCGGGTGTGGTGGCACACGCCTTTAATCCCAGCACTTGGGAGGCAGAGGCAGGCGGATCTCTGTGAGTTCCAAGGCCAGCCTGGTTTCCATGGTGAATCCAGGACAGCTGGGGCTACAGGGAGATCCTGTCTCAAAAAGACCAAAAAAAAAAAACCTGGGGACAGGGGGTGTGCCTGTAATCCAAGCCCTGCCAAGGCAGAGACAGGAGGATCCTTGCTGCTTTCAGCCAGCTCCAGCATGGACCTCTGGGCTCCACAGGAACTGGTAAACACATGCAACACGCACATATGTGCCGATAAGACCAACTTCCACACTATACTAGGGCACGTGGAAACTTCCCATGCTACCAGAATCCCCATGAGACCCAGCCCTGGTGTGGGCTTCCTCCGAAGAGGATGCACAAGGTTGTTTCATCCGCTGTAGTGACTGTGGGATGGAGGCTCAGGATGTGCCCACTGGTTACTACACAGTGCAGGGAGAGTTAAGGTTGTTCCCTGCTCCTGAACTTCCTTTTCAGCGTGTGTGAATGATCAAACTGAAATTCTGGGTCACTCACAATCTCGAACATTGTGCAGCCATTTTGGGAAAATCTCTGGGAGTTATTCTGAGCTCTTAAGCTGTACCCCCCGAGCCTCAGCCAGCAGCAGGTTCAGGGGAGGCAGCTGCTTTTCCCTTGAAGAGAAGCCCGGGTCCTTTGGTTTAGAATAGGGGCCTGACCCAGCAGGGTGCCTTCAACAGTGTTCACTCTCTGCCTCCCATTCTCAGGACCCATAGGATAACTATCACCAACTTCTGTCTTGGAAAGCATCTTGTGAGTGAGGGGGACCTGCTGAAGGACCAGAGGGGGAGCCCGGCCTACATTAGTCCTGATGTGCTCAGTGGTATGTTTGGGTCCCTAGACTACATACAACCAGGCTCTGTGGCAGTACAAACCTTAAACAGATGGTAACCTGTGAGCAGGCCTTGGACTAGCTGCTGGGGCTTTGCTGTGGCCCAAACAGTCCTGACCTACCCTGTACATAATCTTTGGTCTAGTGGAAGAGAAAGACAGACAGACTGGTTACATGCATGCATCAGATTAGAGCTAGGAGAGAAAGGGGATGGGAGTTACAGGAGAGCATGGAAAGGCACTGTGGAGGTCCTTCTCAGGCCTTGGCATTTAAGCTGCAATTTTAAGGACTGGAAACTCAACTGGGTGAGCATGATGGTGCATATCTGTAACCTCATCACTCAGGAGGCAGAGGCAGGAGGGATCTTGGGTTCTAGGCCAGCCTAGGGACACAAGACCCTATCTCAACACCTCCCACCTCAAAAAAAAAAAAAAAAAACAACTGAAAAACTAAAAACTGTGTCACCACACTGTGAGGGCAGTTTCACATGCCCTCTTTCCACAGCTAAGGAAATCAGGGCGAAGAGATGACTCTCTTTTTCTTTGACTTGCATTTTTTTTTAATTAGCTTACAGAGTAGTAGGTTTTACTGACATTGTCATTTTTATGCATATATATCACTATACTTTGTTGTTATTGGCCCTCATCCCCCTCCCCTATTTCTTTCTTCCTCTTCTGGCCTCCCTCCTCCCCCAGACAGTCCCTTCTGCTTTCACATCACATACATCCCGTTACCATCTCTTGTTCCTGGTCCCCTCTCCTTGTGACAGTGACAGTCAAACCATACCACAGAGTGAAGCAAATGAGCAAGTTCCTGCTGAGCACAGCAGAGACAGCGTTTGCACTAGAGAAGTCCCAGTCTAGTAGAGCAGCTGGGGAGTGAGTGGTAGTGATAAAGGAGGAGACCTTGGCAGATGGTGACAAGTGCTGTAAAGGAACCAGGCAGGATCAGGGAGAGTGATGGGGTGCAAGTGGCTGTCTGTGCAGAGCCAGCTGTTTGTCCACAGATATTACTGACCACCCGCTGTATGAACTGCTCTCCTGGGTATAGGAGCAACAGACCCAGGCCCAGCTCCCAGGGTCTCCCAGGCTCATGAGGCAAGCGGCACCACAGAGCAGGACAGGTGGGTGGGCTGCACACAGCTAGGCATCATCCTGGCGAAGAGCGATTGCACAGAAGTTCAAAGGACTGTGCTTGCTCTGGGAGGAAGAGAGTTAAGAAGGCCTGAAGTGAAGGTGGGATTTAGGGCTCAGAGCTGCCCAGATGCAGTCCTTCCCGCTGAGTATGGATGTCCTCTGCCCCCAGGCCGGCCATACCGGGGCAAGCCAAGCGACATGTGGGCCCTGGGTGTGGTGCTCTTCACCATGCTGTATGGCCAGTTCCCCTTCTATGACAGCATCCCACAGGAGCTCTTCCGCAAGATCAAGGCTGCTGAGTACACCATCCCTGAGTGAGTCCTGCCTTCCTGGGAGGGGCGGGAAGGACCAGCTCTGGGCTCTCGGTGAAGAGCATCCCTGGGAGCCCCATGCCACCCTGCCTGAGCCGCCTTCTTCCTTGTCCAGAGATGGGCGGGTCTCTGAGAACACAGTGTGTCTCATCCGAAAACTGCTAGTCCTTGACCCCCAGCAACGCCTGGCTGCTGGCGATGTCCTGGAGGCCCTCAGTGCCATCATTGCATCATGGTAAGTGGGCCTGCGCAAGGCTGGATACTCAGGTGCTCTGCCCCCATGCGCAGCAGAGCAGCCTAGTTCTCTGCCTCACTATCAGCTGCAGCTCCTCCCAAAGGCAGGGTTGGGAGGGTGTAGGCCGAGTGCAGGTCTGCCAACTGTGAAGTGGACAGTGCCTCATCAAGTTCTTGCCACAGCCTTTAGGGCATAAAATGTTCCCTTTTATTAGACAAGAAGACAGAGACCCAGAGCAGTCAGCCATGCTAGGCGAGTTCTAGCTAGGCCCCAAGCTGAACTGACTCTAGCCCAGTCAGGAGCAGTGGGGACCTGCCCAATCTGACCTGTCTACTGCCCCTGCAGGCAGTCACTGTCCTCCCTGAGCGGACCCTTGCAAGTGGTTCCTGACATCGATGACCAAATGAGCAGTGCAGACAGCTCCCAGGAGGTGAGTGTGGGTACACTGGTGGCAGCTGCTTGTAGGCAGGTGCAAGGCTTCCCCCGGACTTCCACCCCGCCTCTTGCAGTGGAAAGCTGTCTTTGGCCTGCCTCCTCATGTCCTACTCATCTGGGGTTCCCAGTATGGGAAGAGACCTCTGAGGTGTGTGGGCCAGGAGGTGGGGGGGAAGGGGGGGTCAGCTCTTGGGACGCCCCAGTGCCAGGAGGCCATTTGACCCTCTGCTGGCTTCCTCTTCCTGCCCAAGTCACATTTCTCTGCTTCTCTGACTCACTGGGTTTTCTCACCCTTCCTGCTTTTCATTTTTCAGATGATTCATTTATCCCTGTTTTCTCTCCTTCCCAAAATTCCCTGCACTGGAGAAAGTGCTGGGCTAGGGGTGGGGACAGACTTGAGTGGTAGGTGGTCTTAGGGCGCCCCCTGGAGGGAAGCTGGGCCTGAGCTGTTGCAAGAACCCTCTAGAAGCTCCCTAGCAAGCAGTAAGCAGGTAGGACCAGGTAGGGCAAACCTTGTGGCCCTTAAGAGAGTTCCAGCCCTACCCCAGCACTCATCCTTCCGTGGGCTGCTCCTCAGCTCAGATAATCATTGCCTTCATCTCATTCAGCCCTCCCTGCTGGGGCCTCTGGGACCATTTTTTATCCCATTTACAAAGGAAGAACTTGAGGATCAGGGAGGTGAGCTGTCCCCAAAGTTAGGAGTAGGGAAGCCGAGCCTTGAGCCCAAACCCTCTGATTCCAAGTCTTTGCCTTCCTCTAGTCAGGGGCCTGCCGCTGCCTGTGAAGGAGGGTGCACAGCCTGGGGCTTTGGGGTCGGGGCGGCTCTGCTTTTATTCCTTGGCATGCACTGGACCCTCAGAGCTCAGAAAACTTTTCTGAGGGGGGACAGGTGAGGATGCTAATGTGACCTCTCTCAAGATCAGAGTAAGGATGGGAGAGTCTCCATCTGAACACAGGGTTTGCGAGGATTGCACGCTAGGTGGCGCCTACTGCAGCCACACACAGCGGCCAGCAAAGTGAGGGCCAGTTAGCTGGAGGACTCTTGCTCAGCCTCCAGTAAGATAGAGCTTAGACAGTGGTGCTTGGGAAGTGTGACCTCTGCAGCCAGGCTGCCCGCCATCCTCTGTACTGCTCTGTTTTCATCTTGGTCTCTCTGGCTCACAGGCAAAGGTAACAGAGGAATGCTCTCAGTACGAGTTTGAGAACTACATGCGGCAGCAACTGCTGCTAGCTGAAGAGAAGAGCTCCATCCACGAGGCCCGGGGCTGGGTACCCAAGCGGCAATTCGGCAGCGTGCCACCAGTGCGAAGGCTGGGCCATGATGCGCAGCCCATGACCTCTTTGGACACGGCCATCCTGGCACAGCGCTACCTGCGGAAATAGTGCCCTCAGCCAAGGGCACCAGCCCCAGCACACTTCTCCCCCCAACGAGAGGCCTAGCCATCGGGCCTGGGCTCCGTAGTGCTAGACTAACTCTCCTAAGCAATGGGGACAAGGCAAGGGACAGGGACAGCCCAGGTCACAGCTGGGGTCAACAAAGGTACCCCGAAGCTACCTTTTGGGATGATTGCTTGATTGTTTGGTTTTTGTTAATCTGAGACGCCTAGATACCTAATCTGCTTTTAATCATGACATTTTAATCTACCTCTGTCTCTTTAACCATGCTGTCTCTGGACTGAGTGCCTGGAGGAGGAGAGGGAAGCCTGCCTGCTCACTGCCCAGGCCCTGGTACAACCACCATCTGGCCCAGACCATTGCTCCCCACAGTCCAAATAAGCTGACCATGCAGCTAGCTGCTGGCCCTCAATGAGCACCCCCTCCCCCCTCTCCTGGCCTTGCCCTCAGTCTAAGCTTTGGAACACTTTCACCTCATCTTCCGCCCAATCCAAATATATTTATTTTTTTACTGAAACCAACTTCTCTCACATCTCTAGGCTCAGCCCATGGCCACTCCCTGACCCCCAGCCTGGCTGGACAACAGGGTCGATACCTGCATGTGGGCTCCCTTCTCTCCCCTGGGCACCTAGGAGCCCCCTTGTCAGCCCCTCTCAGCTCTCAGCCCTCAGCCCACCAGGCCCTCTGTTTCTGGTAATAGGAGACCTTTCTAGACTTGGCTCTTTCTCTGTCTCAGTAGCTTCTCTGAGGTGCTGTACATGCACACTAGCCCTGCTTCCTCCTCCATCCTTCACGTGGTATCCAGGTAACATGGACACAATGTGAAGGGACTGGTAGCCAGCTCTGGAGGATGCTCTGGGCCTGCTGCAGACGGGCCACTTGCCTGCTTTTTTTCTCCCCTATATTCTTGTGCTCAGAGACCCTTTCATCCTGCCTCAGAACAGATGTCATGTCTCCCCCAGCAGACCCTGGACAGATGCCTACATGGGAGTGGTAGGCTTATGGGGAGGTGTGTAGGGGCCGGGGTCCTACCTGTCTGGTTTGAGAACATGCCTGCTACCCTTTTTGAGCCGAAATTTTGAAGTGGATGCCTGTCTTGCCAGAAATGCTGTTCTCATCAGAATGCCCCTTCACCCGCTGGACTTTCCCTACCCAGTACTAAGCAAAGACCCAGCTCTGGTGGCCTACGACCCATGCACCCCTCAGAGAGGCCAAATCTCCCTCCAGGCAGCCCTTGGCCCTTCCTGCCTCTTCTTGCTCCCTAATGGGGAAGCCAACGTGTTTTTCAGAGTGTGAGCTGCTCCCCCCAACCCCGAAAAGCTGACTCACTGTGAGTGACCTTGGGCAAGTTCCCAAACCTCCTTGTGCCTCAGTTTCCCCATCTGGAAAAAATGGGGCCACCTCTTGCCAGCAGTAGCAGGGCTGCCCATGCCCCTTCCTTCCCATTCCCCCTAACCAGCACTGGGCGCCTTGTGCCTCTGTCTCGCTGGGTCTGTGGGAACCTGAGCCCGGCACTTACTCCCTAGCACCCAGCTCTGCCTCCAGCCATCTAGCTGCTGAGAGCCGGGGTATGGTGCTGTGGGGGAGGGCTCTTTTCTATATTTATTTGATAAAAGTCTCCCAAGGGAGCAGAAATGCAGACAGCCTGGGCTCCCAGCCTGAGACTGCCCTCCGGTAAGGCTATGAGGTCTGGCCAGAGCCCTCCTGGGTAGAGACCTGCCCAGCCCCTCTGGCCTACATCCATGTGCGGTCTTTCCCCTCCTTTTCAAAGCAATACCCTCAGGTCTGCAGAGCCCCATCAGAGAGCCTGGTTCCTTTCAAGGTCAAGCCTGGGTCTGATGGTGTTTCTAGCGACACAGATAGGAGGAGGTTGCGTCTGCCCTCACTGGTGTCACACACTGAGAGAAGTCCTATTGTAAAGAGAAAACAAAATGGAAAAAGTCACAAAAAAGTTTGTATAAAGACGTATTTTTGTACTACATGGGGACTCTTCCTGCATGTCAGCAATAAAATTTCCTGATCTGGAGCCACCATGGTCTGCAGTGTCTGTTCTTTAGCCCTCCATCTCTGACCACAGCCTTGCCATCTCTCCCGTCACAGCCAGCCAGATCCTGTGCCTCTGGGCCCTGCCAGCAGGTGCACCTCAACCCCCAGCCAGCAAGCAGTTCAGCCTTACTGTCTGAAGAGGTAGGGGCCCCAGAATGATGAGTCTCCCAGAATGCCCTGCCTCCCACCAAGTGCCCCAGTGGAAGTTAGTTCTGTGCTTGGGTTGACTGCCTCTGCTGTGCATGGAGGGTGGCAGAGCCCCTGCAGCTGGAGAGCTGGTCCCCTCTTTACAAAGTCCCATGTGGGAGGTAGAGAACCTACCTACTGAGACAAAGTGCTATGTACCCAAATGCCTGCCTGGGGAGCTGGGTAAGGAGCTGGCCAGGCCAGGCCTTTCCTGTATTGCCCTCCCCTCCATGGGAAACCCAAGGGTGCCTGCCTGCCTGCCTGCCTTCCTACCTTCCTTCCTTCCTTCCTTCCTTCCTTCCTTCCTTCCTTCCCTCCCTCCCTCCCTCCCTTCTTTCCTCCCTTCCTTCCTTCACCTAAGTTTAGACTGCAGATTGTACCTCTCAGTGAAGTGAAACAATGAGCTTCTCCAGAAGTGAGGTGGTCCCCTGGCCCTCTCCCAGCCAGGCAAGGAAGGAATAGATGTCTTAGCAAATGAAGCTTCTAACCCAGGCAAGGGGCCTGATCCATCACTGCTCTCCTACCCATACCCCACAGCCCACACATTCTACACACGTTCACCCCTACCCTTCTGTCCCAGATGCTCTGTAAAAAGGTGTCCTTGCATTGAGCATACCACTGCCAGCCGCTGCCCCTGGTGTCCATTTACAGCCTTTCTTCCCTTCACTGGATCATCCTCTGCTCTGAATACACCTACACAGGGCAGCCTGGCATTCAGTATAGCACAGGCAGCAAGAGCTGTTTGGCCCACCCTTGTGTCTGCCCAACTGGCACTCAACTGCCTGGTTTGCTGATCTGCACTGGGACTGTGCCTCCTTTATGATTTCCAGTTTAGTTTTTCCCTTTGAGACACTTGCTACATAGTCCAGACTAGCTTTGAACTCGTCTTCTGCCTCAGCCTACCAAGTGCTGAGATTGCAGTCATGTGCAATCTCATACCTTGTCCTTGCCCTTTCCTTTTCCGTGTGTGTGTGTGTGTGTGTGTGTGTGTGTGTGTGTGTGTGTGTTCATGTGTACATGAGCACCATAGTACACATGTGGAAATCAGATAGCAACCGACAGGAATTAGTTTTGTGGGTCCTGGGGATTGAACCCTGCTCATCGGGCTTGGTGGCAAGCACTTCTACCCACTGAGCCATCTCACTGGCCCTCACAAGTTTTTATTGGAAGCACAGGATGCAAAGGAAGGAAGCAAAGTACTAGAAAGTGGGTGAATCATTATGATAAACAGGCTTCTAAGATATCAAGAGCTGATAAGTTTAGCCACCCCTGGTCTCCAGTGTCCTCAGGGAGAGAAACCAGATGGCTCTGAAGTGGGAAAGGAAGTGGAGACAGAGTCCTGCTGGCTGACTTATCCAGGCCCCAAAGCCAAGGCTGCTTCGTCTCTGTCTCTCATGCTCTTCCCTGTAACCCTCCAGCTCTGCCTTGAATCTGACCACATCTCAACCCCACTGCAATCACCAGTGTCAGCACTCTTGCCCCCTTCCCCACAACCCCCTTCCTTCCACTCCCTGCCCTGGACAGTCCAGGTGCAGGGGACCTGAGGGAGCATTTCAGTATAGCCAGATGTGGTGGCATTTGTCTGTACCCCCAGCACTCCCATTTCCGTGAGTTCAAGCCAACCATAGTTACACAGTGAGAACTGATCTGTTGGTTTGCTTTTGTCTTTTTGAGACAGGGTCTCCCTGTAGCCCCACCTGGCCTGAAAATCACTATGTAGACCAGGCTGGCCTCATTCACACCGGCCCTTGTTTATTTTAAAGGAGGGAGAGCTGGAGCTGTGGCTCAGCAGTTAAGATCGCTGGCTGCTCTTGCAGAGGACCTGGGTTTCATTCCCAGCACCCACATAATGGTTCACAACGATCTGTAATTCCAGTTCCAGAGGACCTGACACCCTCTTCTGGCCTCTGTGGGCACCAGGTATACACTTGGTACACATACATACATAGAGGCAAAACACTCATACACATAAAATAAAAATATTTTTAAAAATTATATATATGTCTTTTTGAGACGGGGCTCCCTGTAGCCCCAGCTGGCCTGGAACTCACTTTGTACACCAGAGTGGCCTGGAATTCACAGAGATCCGCCTGCCTCTGCCTCCCCCTCAAGTGCTGGGATTACAGGCATGAGCCACCATGCCCAGCTTAAAAATATTAAAAATTTTTATTTTATGTATATAAGTGTATTGCCTGCATGTGTGTAAGTGCACCTGTGTTGTACAATGCCCACGGAGGTCAGAAGAGGGCGTCGGATCCCCTGGAACCAGAGTTATGGATAGTTGTTAGCTGCCTATAATTCCAGCTCCAGGGGATCCAACACCCTTTTCTGGCCTCCAGGGGCACCCCCCCCAACACACACACACAGCATACATATACCCAGACACACTCTCATACACACTAAAAAAAGCTGGGCCTAGTGGCTCATGCCTTTAATCCTAGCATTCAGAAGGCAGAGGCAAGCTGATCTAGCAAGTTATAGCCATCCAGAGTTGCATAATAAGACTATCAAACAAATAAAAAGATCCAGAAAAACCCTCAGGGATAGGGCCACACATAGTGACACACAACTGTAATCCCATAATATGGAGAGCATGAGGCAGGAGGATTGTCACAAGCTCAAGGCTAGTCTTGTCTACAGAGCTGGCTCTATAACAGCCTGGGCTATATTAATGAGACTTTCAAAAATAAAACAGGGCCAGACAAGTGGCTCAAGGGTAATAGGTGGTTGCCAGACCCACATGGTGGAAGGAGAGAACCAATGTCTTCAAGTCCTCTGACCTCTACACATATATACACATACATAAATAAAATAAATAAATAGAACAACTTCCAGGCCTAGTGGCATAGGCTTGAAATCCCAGCTACCAAGGATGCTGAGGCCAAAGGATCTCAAATTGAAGGCTAGACCCTGGCTGCAGAGTAAGTTCAAGGCCAGCCTGGGCATTACTGTGATTAAGCACTGACCAAAAGCAAGTTGGGGAGGAAAGGGTTACAGGTTGTAGCCTGTCATTAAGGGAAGCCAAGGCAGGAACTTGGAGGTAGGCATTGAAGCGGAGACCATAGAGGCATGCTGCTTACTGGCTTGCTTCCCCTGGCTCGCTCAACTACCCTCCCTAGACCCACTTGCCTAGGGATGGCACTGCCCACAGTGGGATGGACCTTCCTACATCAAATAGCTTCAAATAAGCAATTCCAGTTCCAGGGGATCTGATGCCCTCTTCTGGCCTCTGTGGGCATTGCACAACCTGGGTGCACTTATATATACACAGGCAAACACTAATAAAATAAAAATAAATTTAAAAAAATTTTAAGTAGTGGGTACTGGAGAGATGGCTCAGCTGTTAAGACCACTGGCTGCTCTTGCAGAAGACCCGGTTCGAATCCCAGCACCCACGTGGCGGCTAACAACAGTCCATAACTCCAATTCCAGAGGATCCGATGCCCTCTTCTGGCCTCTGTGGGCATTGCATGACACAGGCGCACTTACATGCAGGCAAACACTCATATAAAAATAAATTTAAAAAATTTTTTTAAGAATACACTGATTCTTAAAATTTTTTTAAATTATTTTTATTTTATGTGTATGAGTGTTATGCCTGCATGTAGGTAAGTACACCCATGTCATTCAATGCCCACGGAGGACAAAAGAGACTGTCAGATCCCCTGGGACTGAAGTTATGGACAGTTGTTAGCCGCCATGTAGGTGCTGGGATTCGAACTGGGTCTTCTGCAAGAACAGTCAGTGTGCTTAACTGCTGAGCCATCTCTCCAGCCCCAAATTTTAAAAAAAAATTAAAGTAGAAAGTGGTCTATGGCTATATTCAGTAGTAGAATGCTTTTCTATCATAAGAAAGGCCCTAGGGTCCATCTGCAGTACAACAAAAATAAATAAAGCAAAACTCAAGTGTGGTGTCCTTTCCCTGCTCACAACCCTAGACAGCTTCCATTAATCCAAGGTGACCCATGGAAGCATCTGGCATGAGGCTCAGCATGGCATGAGGCCCCCTCCCACACCTTCCCTAACCTCACCCTTTCACCCTTACTCTGCACCAGTGCAGCCTCTGAATCCTCAGCAAGCCAAACACGCTTTGACCCGTTGGCCTGGCCACTGGCTACTCTTTCTGGAAGAGGTATTTGGTTCCCACCCTGATGTCAGTGAGGCCTTTACTCAGAGTGTCCCCTCCTCAGAGTCTTGGCTCCCGTGTCACCTGCTCTTCTGGAACTCTTTTCCCTGTCATTTTGCTCTTCATAGACACACGTGTTTAGTTAGTTATCATGTCTTCCTTACTCAAATGTTGAGGCCCATGAGTGAGCATCAGAATCTGTTATGTCCACTGTGGGAGTGGAAGGTGCTGGTCACCTTAACTGGGGGTTGTGATTACTATTTAGAGTAGGGGCCAGGGGAAGCCGGATTCTACATCCTGCACAACATAAGTGAGAAATGCATGTATCATAGCCCAGAATCTGACTCCAGTTCATACAGAAACACTAGGAGTTTGGGTCTGCAGTATATGTTGACTTTTCTGGCAATCTAACTGCTGTGTAAAGTGAAAGGGATTTGTACTTTATGTTGTTTTGTTTGTTCAGTTTTCATTTGCCTTTGGAGACAGAGTCTCACCATATAGCTCTGGTTGGCCTGGAAATCTCTGTGTAGATCAAGCTGGTCTTGACTCACAGAGATCTGCCTGTTTCTGCCTGCTTCTGAGTTTAAAGGCATGTGCTATCATGCCCAGCTATTTATAACCTATTTGTTTGTTTGTTTGTTTATTTATTTATTTATTTTGGTCTTTTTGAGAC